CTTCTTTTCTTCCTTTCTTGTTTGGTTTATAAAACCTTTCAATGTATGTTCATTTTGGAAAAAAATTAAAACAAATTAAAATTCAGCTTAGTTCCCTGTTTCCTTTGTAATATTTTATTTCAGATACTCAGCTACACGAGGTGCCTGCTTTGGCCAAATCGCCCCCACACAGTTCACCTCCACGGTCCGCATGACACCATCTCTGCTCTGTCGCACACCCTTGGACCTGCCCGCTGTGCTCTGCCTATCACACTCATTACCTGGTCCACAGGCCTCATACTCGGCCTCCCTGTCCTGCAAAACCAAAAATCTTTCCTTCCTATGAGCTCCAAGTATGTTTGGTTCCAAACTTCTGGGCATCATGTAAAAAGTCTGAGATTAGATGTCTTCAGCTGGCTGCTTTCTTGATCTTCTCTGCATCCTTATAATATTTTGTATATTTCTCTTGACACTTAATTATATTCTACTTAATATCAGTGTCACGTGGGGTATTTTCTTGTCCTGCTTACCTCTGAGTTATTCTTAAGAACAGAGATCCTTTTATTTTCCATTCAAGAATTTTAATGTAATATCTCATGTATCATAAGAATATGTAAAGAACTCTAGCATTATTAATATGTGCCTTTAATTTGATAATAATATATATTTTTCACCACTTTTTAATTTTCCTTTTGGAAGTATATTTAAAATAACTTTATTCAAGATTCCACAGATTTAGGAATTTAATATTTCCAACAAGATTGGTGTTTTCCTCTTGCATCCCACTTAGTAGGTGCTCATTAAAGTTTGAAGTGATTCAACATAAAATTTTATTCCCTCACTACTTAGATGCTGTGAGATTATTTTTTATTAGGATAAAAATTACTATTAAAAAGACCAGACCTGTGCAAGAGCAAATATACCTATCATCCCAATAGTCATACAGGATGGACTGGAAAGCAAAGTTTTCCCCAAGAAAGTGGATTAGTCTGAAGTCTCTCAAGTGCGTTTACATTATATTCTTATCCATACAGTTAATGGATAAGCCTTGGAATGTTTGTTTGCTCTCCTCTGTGCTGTTCCAGATAGTGCTAAAACCATGGCAGGCAAAGGGCCGGTTTAACTAGTTGCCAACTGTAAAACAATTACTTATACATTATCTCTTAACCAATTTAAAATACACCCTTTGAAATGATTGGGAAGGTAAAGGTAAAAATGGCAACATTCCTCATTCCATACACCAACTTAAAAGCCAAAGCAAAAAAAAGAAATTCTTTTTAAACCACTTTTGTTTTCATTAATTATAAGAAAAATAAGTTAACTACCAGAGAACTTTTGTTTTTGACGCTAAAGTCATGGTTTAAATATTAATATGTCATATTATCAACTGACAACATTGGCTCTTTTGTCATTTTAATGATACATATTGCATTTATTTTCATCTCATACCTCTGGTATATTATATGCATTCATGGTGCTTGCTATTTCCACTTCTTACCACATTGTCACGGTATGTTTTATATTGAATATCTACCAACTCAAAATTTAAATGTAATTCTATAGACAAATTACCAAAAGATATTTTAGGTTAAAAGAGTATATGGACATATTCGATCATCTAAACTATTTAAATATATAAACCCAGCTGCTCAAATTAGATTTTTGTCCGTCCAAAAAGAGTAAGTACACAGAATAACCACAGTAATATCTAGCTAAATCGAATAACTCTGCCCTCAACGCTCATATATTTTATTGAGTGAAATGATATTTTTTTAAGATTAAATTCTGTATCAGACTGCAAGCAAAGGAGTCTTCCCTTATTTTATTGGTCTAAGAAGACTCTGACAAAACAGAGGACTGAAGAAAAGGTAAATATCCTGAAGCTTAGAGAAAACTCGGAAGACAATTTTATAAGAAAAGGCTTGAAAGGTAATTTTTTAGAGTACAAAGATGTTTTTCATTATGAAAGCAGTAAATTACTACGGGTGGACGCTATTCCCTTTCATTTCCTTTCTTCATTCCCACTTCCTAGCCTGTAAAAACACCAAACAAACACAAGCTAGACTGTACCTGATGGAGGAGGCACTGCTGGCTCTTCCTTCGCAGACTGAGGAGACAGTAGACAGCTCTTGGTCAGCACGATGTCATCCAGCGCAATGTCACCACGGTGTCCTTTCCCAACTCTACCTTCAAAGCGGAGTCGGAAGTCCTCATCGCCAGACAGGACTAGTTCTTTCCGCTGCCAGAAGTTGCCTTGTTCTATTGTGAGATTTACTAGGAGCTTCGTTTGGTTTGAGACTGATACCTGGACCAAGGTGAGTGCCCCAATGCCGTTTCCATACATGTGATAATGAAAAATTATCTGTAACCAAGAATAAGTATTATATATATATTTAGTACAATTAATTCCATTTTATCTTCAGTTATAGCATATTGCCCTTTTCTTTATTAACAGATTCCAGGAAGAAAACTAAACCTGTATGTCCTGTTGCTCTGTGACTTCTCGAACACTGAGTAGCTAGGCCAGCCTTAAATCATATGCTTCTAAATATGGAAAACGGTACAAGGATCGAATAGAAATTTAGTTAAAAAATGAGCAGAGTTTACTTTCTGTGATTTCTAAATGTAGGATTCCTTGATAAACTCTTAACATCCTCTATCAAAGAAATAAAATATGATTAAAAAGCGAGGCGTTATAGAAAAGGATTTTTCATGATTAAGAAATAGCAGGGACAAAAGGCAATCATTTTCAATCTCGTGAAACTTAAATCATTTTCTCCAAAATAGCAGAGCATTCTATTGCTTATTCCACCACATTCTTGCACTTGAAACACATTTTCAGTTCTACAAGGTCGTCCAGGCAAAACCACCAGGACAGCAATTATCCAAATTTTACTCAAAACGCTAGAAACATGCTTTAGAAGAGCAGCTTTGGGAGTTTTTCCCTGAGTAAAAATTAATAAACACTTTAACGTTTCAAAGATAAATATGGCTAGATTTTTAGTGATTGTTACATTGAAGGGGAGAATTAGAAAAAATTCTGAGAGAAAGAACAGTACAGGTTAGAAACAGTAAGAACTCAGAAGGTTTTTAAGCTTTTTTTCTTGTCATTTCTATGAATGAAGGAAAACTGTAATGGGGATGATGTTCACACAGGGAAAGACATTACTGAAACAATAGTAGAAATGGATAGCACACTCTAGAGAAAGGAAAATGGATGTGTTTAAAGGGTAAAGAATGAGATTAAACAAACATGTGCAGCACGTACTTCAAAAAGCACCAAGAATGGGCGAGCCATGTACAGGCCTCGACTCAGCTCACCCAGCTGATGAAACTTTCAGGTATTATGCTAAGATCCAAACAGGTTTCTTCTCATTGTTAACCAACTAATGTTGGAAAACATGCGCTCTATGGCCACTGTGCCTTGTCCAGGGAGGACTGGTGAAACCGGGGTGACATAACTCATTAGAGTGAGAAACAAAAGGGGCCAGGGCCAGACTCTCAGGCAGCACCAACAGGCATGAGAGAAACTATCTGCTGGGCACAGCGTATGTCTACCTGGACCCCTTCTAGTCCCAGACGTGGTCTGTTTTCTCTTCTCATTTGTACAAGAAACATGAGCCAGATGTTTTACATCACAGCAAATACTTCTCTATCTTCTTGAGGCCATTTTCTGAATGATGCCACCAGGTTGTCATGCAAACAAACATCTAAACACCTCCATTTCTACAGAGAACATGATGCCAACACAGCCTTATCACAGGGCAACCCGAGGGACTAAAAGTCTGCTAAGTACTGAATTCTAAAGAGGCACTTTCACTGAAAATGTTAGTTACTCAGGGGGTTGATCTCTTTCCTCATCAGTTTCTGTCTGTATCCCTCCCACCACCGAATTCTCAAAAGGAAGAAAAACCTCCAGTTTGAAGGTATTCCACAAGGTCAAGTGACAGAGGATTTTTGTGAAAATTTGGGAGGTCACTCTGCTTATCTAATGCACTTTTTTTTTTTTTAAATATGAGAGACCCGATCATTTACAGCATGACCTTTCCTTACTTCTTTGTGTTCAATCTATACCATAAATATTCATGAAATAAGCCATTCATCATTAATTTTTGACATTTCTTCTAGGCATGCTTCATTATTCTTACACCGATGTTTAAAACAGTAGGGACTGCAGCTCTGGGAACAGGGAAAACAGAGATGGATGAAACCCTTGGTTGCTCCAGTATGAAAAGGAAAAATCTGTTAAACAATTTCAGAGGAACTGTCTAAATTGAAAAGCTGAGAAGTCAAACTGGAATTTTACATATATTTCATGTTTAATTTTTGACTTGCTCTCTAAGACTAGAACTTATTTGTAATTTTCAGATGTATAGATCTATAGGTACTCAGAATATATAAAATCCGGTGTCTTTGGGTTTTATTTTTGAGAAAGTTTCAAGTAATTTGAAAGGCAGAAAAAACAAACAAAATATATTTAATTAAAACTCAATTTTTTTTGGCCAGACTAATTAAAGTTTAATGTGATTCTGTATGATATGTTACGTTTGTTCTGGATTGCTGACTGAGTTATGTTTCTAAAACTCTGATCCGAACATTTCACTTTCTTGCAGAAAAATCTGTGAAACCAGGATGGCATAACTCCTATCAAATGTGCCCGAAGACATAAAAGAGATGAGATTGCTATAGAATTTACCTATGAAATCACCTTAAGGCCAGACAGAAAAACTCCTAAGATAAGCAAAGATTTAACATGTGTTAAGATTGTGACAGGGGTAGGATGTGAAGGTTAGTCAGTATGAAACAGAGGAACAAGCTTCTGTAGGAGGGGCGGGTACAATGGGGGCCTTTGAGCGGTTGATTTAATACGTNCGCTGGGATGTGAAGGTTAGTCAGTATGAAACAGAGGAACAAGCTTCTGTAGGAGGGGCGGGTACAATGGGGGCCTTTGAGCGGTTGATTTAATACGTCTCCCCCCCAGGGTTAGGTCTCTCTATTGTGGAGACAGGGACAGGAGAATATTAGAATTTGAAGACACTGAAGAATTAAATCATGCCATTGCCTCCCAGCCTGATTCTGTGGTCAGCTAGCAACTTTCTGGATGTACTTGGCTTTTCTTTCAGTGCTCAGACTTTGGGAAACATACCAGTCTGAATACATGTGTTCAGATCTTACGAAGACTGTGCTTTCATTGTAAATATAAATAAAGGCACAATTATTTACTTCTCATGTTCTCAAAAGCAAGATTCTTGTGAAGTCATCTCTGAGGTCTTAATTTATATTATATGTAAAGCTAAGTTTAGCTCCTAATGTAGCTGACTCAAATTGTTTTGCGGAGCAAAAACAATCAAGCAAACAATAAGTAAAGGAAAATGGAGGATCCTGAAAACACATGGTCATTTCATGAGGCTGTTTGGCTCTAAGAGCCGTGCAAACTTATTTGTACTTTTAACACTCTATAAACATTTTCTTCCAATTTCCACAGGATGATGGCAAGGCATTTTTTCTTCCAACCTATAGAAATTAGTCTACTTTTTGGAGGGCCAAATTCAGTCTTTCTTTTCCCCTGAGGACATCTTCAAATATTTTATTGTAGCTCCAACTATCTCTAATATTAATTCTTGGACGTATTTAAATATATATTTCTTGTTGTTTACTTTTTTTCTGATGATAAAATTCCCATAATCCTAATAGGTACTAAACTTCCTGAGTGAACACAACTGGTATTTTACTCCTTTTGTATTATCCATGAGTAAGAACCATGAAATTTCCCACTGGTTTCCAAAATTCCAACATTTATGGAATATAACCACAAATTAAATCCTTCCTACAGTTCCAACAATCCTTCCCTCTCATCCTTACTTCCCCTTTTTTCTCCCTCACATACCCCAAGTTGAATAAATTCAAACATATTTTTGGCTTGGTCCTGACCATTACATTTTCCATATTGACTCTATCAGAAGTTGACCATAATACTTGTATTTCTTTTTTCCATACCTTACAGTTTTGGCTTCTTCTGCTTATGACTGGGCTTGAAATTCTGGCTGCTCTCATGGGCTGCTGAGGGAACAAGCTCTTTATGAAGATGTAATGACCAGACGAATTTCGCAAGGTGTGATCAGCAGCTGGCTCCGTGCCTGCAGCAGGGATGCTGCTGGCTTTCAGGTTCCAGTCCAAGTCATCCTCCTGCTCCTGCTCCCAGGAACAAAGATCAAATTCAAAATCACAGCGCCCCCTGGAGGCACCTGGAAAACATTTTCCAATTTATGGGAGAAAGGAAATTAGCTGACTTTAAGGCATGCAATCCAAAATTACAGTGATCTTGCCACATCATGTAATATACAAAACTTTACAATATTATCCTGACAGCAACATTCAAACAGAATATTTTACTTTGCTACTAAAATATACACAGCTATTTATATACACAGCTATTTATATGGCTTGTGTAAGTTTATTTCTTCACAAATCTGGTCCTCAGTCTCAAAGTCAATGAGAAAATGTTTTAGCATTACACACAATTCTCCTCCAAGCACCTATTTGATCAATGTAATTACATCTCCTCTCCTTCATCTTTGCCTCTCAGGGCTTGGTAGGGAATTTACAAAGTTTATTATTCTGCAGTACAGTTTGGCTTAGGAAATGCGGCCTAAAGCAAAAGTTATTAATCATTGTAATTATTTTGTAAATATATCCTTGTTTTAGAGGTGAGAAAGTTGGGAAACGTAAAAGTAAGGTAAAAAGTGTAATAACTTGAATTAATTTATTATAATAAATTGTAGAAATTAAATGTTAACAGTCTCTCTAGTATTTTAAAAATATTTTGTTGCTAACATTGCTTAAGTTTTTTCTTCCATTTCCAGAATACAAAGAATCATCACATTCAATCTTTATTGAATTTCTGCCTGAGGGATCTATGTACTTCTGATCGAGTTATCGAGTATGGAAATCCCCAACTATGATAGTGGGTTCATCAATTCTCTTTGCAAGTCAATTAGTTTTTGTCACACATGGCTTGACATTCTGTTGTTAGGCACTTACACATTATAGACTGTCATATCTTCTTGAAGAATTGACCCCTCTATTGTTATTTAATGCCCTTATTTAGCTTTGATAACTGTCCTTCTTTGATGTCAGCTCTCTCTGAAATTAATATAGCTACTCCTGCTTCCTTTTGTTTAATGTGAACATGTATATATTCCTCCATATTGTTAATTTTAATCTATACAATGTCTTTATATTTTAAATGGATTTCTTGTAGACAACATATAGTTGAGTCTTGTTTTTTGACTCACTCTAAAACTTTCTGTTTTTTAATTGGTGCATTTAGACCACTGATATTCAAAGTGATCACTGAGAGCACTAGATTAGTGTCTACCATACTGTTACTATTTTCTATCTGTTACCCTCATTCTTTGTTCCTATTTTTGTCTTCTATAGTTTTTCTGCTTTTTGTGCTTTTAATTGAATATTTTATATGGTTGCATTTTCTCTCCTCTCTTAGCATATTGGTTATACTTTTTTAAACTTTTTTACTGATTGCCCTAGAGTTTTACATTATATCCTTATAAATAATCTAACTTTACTTTAAAAGAGCATTATATCCCTTTGTGCATAGTGTGAGTAGCTTATAATAACAATATAATCTTCATTCCTCCCTGCCCCTTGTACCATTGTTATCATTCATTTTACTTGTATATAAGCATACATGAACATATATGTATATATATATAACATATATAAGAATACATACTTGAATGCATTGTTATTTATTTTAAACAGTGTTATCTGATAAATCGATTAAGAATAAGAAAAATTAAAGTTTTTATTTTATCTTCATTTATCCCTTCTTCATTCCTTACCTTCCTTTATGTAGGTCTGATATATATCATTTTCTGATCTATATCATTTTCCTTCACTCTAAAAAACTTATTTTAACATTTCTTGCAAGGTAACTCTAGTGGCAAAATATACCCTTTTTTTTCCTTGTTTGAAAAAATATTTCTCCTTCACTTTTTAAAATTAGTATTTATTTATTTTTAATCCTCACCTGAGGATATTTTTCCATTGATTTTTTTAGAGGGAGTGGAAGGGGGGGAGAGAGAGAAACAATGATGTGAGAGAGACACATTGACTGGGGCAGGGATCGGGCCTGCAACCAAGGCACATGCCCTTGACTGGGAATCCAACCTGCGACCTTCCGGTCCTCAGGCTGATGTTTTAACCACTGATCCAGACCAGCTAGGGCTCTCCTTCACTTTTGAAGGATAATTTTTCAGGGTATAAATTCTATATTGGTGAATTTTTATTTTCCCCTCAGCCCTTTAAAGACTTCATCCCACTCTCTTCTTGCTTTCATTGTGTCTGAGAAGTCAGATATAATCCTTACTTTTGTTCCTCTATAGGTAAGGTGCTTTTTTCCAATGACTTTTTTCAGGATTTTATCTTATCTTTGATTTGTCTTTAGTTTGAAAATGATGTGCCTAGGTGCAGTGCATTTAGGGGGAAAGGGCGCCTTTATCCTGCTTCATGTTCTCTGAGCTTCCTGAATCTGTTGTTTTGTCTGGCATTAACTTAGGAAAATTCTCAGTTGTTATTGTTTCAAATATTTCTTCTGTTCCTTTTCTCCTTTGTCTTTTGATAGTGACATTATTCATATGCTACACTGTTTATTCTAAAGTCCTTGGATACTGTGTTGTGTTCTTTTGTGTGTTTCTAGGTCTTTTTGTTTTTCTGTTTTAGAGGCTTCAATTGTTATATCTTCTAGCTCAGATATCTTTTCTAGTTGTATGCAGGCTACAAATAAGCTCATCAAAAGTATTCTTCATTTCTATTACAGTGCTTTCGATCAAAGTATTTCTGTTTGGTTTTTTCGTAGGATGGCCATCTCTCTACTTATGATGCCCATCTGTTCCTGCATGTTATTTTATCCATTAGAAGCCTTAACAGATTAATCATAGTTGTTTTACATTCCTCATCTGATAATAACAACATTCCTTCCATGTCTGATTCTGATGTTTGCTCTGTCTCTTAAAACAATTTTTTTTTTTTTGCCTTTCAGTATGCCTTGTAACTTTTTCTGGATAGCCAGGCATGATATTATGAGTAAAAAGAATCACTGTAAATAGGCCCTTCTAATGTGGGGAGAGGGAAAATATTCTACAGTTTAATGATTAGGTCACAGTCTTTAATGGGCCTATGCCACTGGAACGTGAACATCTCAGGTTTTTTTCCTCCCCATTAGGAGGAACAAGGTGGCTAGAGGGGGATAGCATTGGTATTTCCCTTCCACCAGGTTAGTTAGGCTCTGATAATACCCCATCAGGTCAGGCTTTTGTTACTAGCTTCCCTTGAGGGCAAGACTCGTTAGGAAAAACAATGCAGAGTGCTCTGTCAGAAGCATGAGGGGATTTTCTCCAATATTTACTATGGAACCTGGTTGAACTCGGGGAGGTAAATTTCACAATATTGTGGGGATGTCCCTGTAAATGGGTGTCCTGGAGTTTTCAACTCTCGAGCTTATCCACACTGAACCTCTAGCAATTCAGCAATAACAGGTCAGGTTTTCCTCCCCTGATGCTGCTTCCCATAGTGGTTTCTGCTCTGGAGTCTCTGCTCTGATAAGGTGGTACTCCCTGTGTTCACTTGTATGTCTCTCCTATCTTGGGGGCAGCAGTTTGCCCTGTGTCCTTCCTTTTCTTATGGATCCCAGGAGAGTTACTGATTTTTCAGTCTGTTCAGCTTTTTATTTTTTGGGACAGAATTACAACTTCCAAGCTCCTTGTATACAGAAGTAGATAGTTGGGATTAGACAAATATCTTTTTATAATTCTGCTTAGTAAATTATAAAGCTAACAATGAAAGCTAAGATATCATAAAACCAAGCATTGTGTAATTGAGAGAACATATCTTATAAAATTTTATGTTTAGGCTACTTTTTATAGTCTTTATTTTGACATAAATATGCATGATATAGCATAAAATCAATGTTTGATTAATTTGACTATAAATAATAAAATGTGCTCCTTAGAATTCTTGGATAATGGTAATTCTGTATTAAGTTTTGTTTGAAAATTACAACTGAAAATGGAAATCTGTACAATCATAATTATATATGAGGTGGTGTTCCAGAACTAAGAATACTTGAGAACTCAAGTTGCAACTTGTCAATCTATAATTAGATAAAGATTTTTCTGTTAAAGAAAGCTCATTTGAACAACTGCTCATGTATTTTAGGCAATCTTATCTAAATGAGAATAGGACTGATTTTGCCACCAAAATTCTCAGGGACCTGCTCTCTAATGCATAGACCAAAGGCAGATAGAGCTCTGTCCTAGCTGAAGCCATGGCAATTCCCAGACAAAGAATCAACTCTATTCTACTCCATAGGATTCTTTAAGCATTTCCAAATTGTGCTAGGCATTAAAACCATGCTTTTCTTTATGGTTACACTCTTACAGTCAGCACAGATCAGATAAATATGTTTAAATATGCAAAATAATCTCTATCTTCTTTGTAGTTAATAAAGTGGAGAATATGAGAACATATGGGTTTTACCATTGCTTCTATACCATTTTAAAGCATATAACACTGCTGAGATGAAGAGGAACTTAAGCATACCTCCCAGCAAGGAATTTGTTCAACAATAAAGAATGGTTTAAAATGATCATCTCTAGCTTTTGAAAGAACTAAGCGTTGATAAATGTAAGAAAGCATCAGGACTAATAAGCTTTTTTAAATGGTCTAATTTTAAACAGTCAGGCCAACACTGATATATTTTCAAGGATAGAGAAAATTTTTCTGTCATAATTTCTGTCACCAAATGAACAGGCTGGTGTTTTCTAGCCAATGGCCAATTCAGTTTTAAAATTACACTTGAAGCTTATTTTGGCAATTTACTCTTTCCTAGATTAGACTGTAATTCTTTCAGCTTCCTTGAGCTGAGAATACTAAAGTTCTCCTAAGTATAATTTCAGAGGACTGGGAGGTAAATCTCATTAAAATAATACCGAACCCCAACTCAGCAGCTTGTTTGTAATGTGAACTGCTCACTTGGTTAAGAATTATAAAACTAATTCAGCTGCCTGTGTGTTGGAGAACCCAGCAGCCCACAAGGACGAGACTGCCATTCAGACCAGCATCTAGAAAGGACATTTGTATAAAGAATGATGCGTGCTGCTAAACAACAGATTTCATTTGGTTTCAAAAATCATACAAATGCTGCTACATCAATCTCTATGATGTA